GTATAATTTTTATCCATTTAGTATTAGTTAACTAAAAATGTAGTACATGGTGGTCTGATAGTAAAAAACTAAGAGACATGACATAAACTCATTCTCTCCAAAATTCAATTCCTATATGGAACTCTTTTATTTCCGCTTAACCGATCAAAATAGATTTACAAGTTTGTTAGAAAATTTGGTAAATAGACTATTTGATGGTTCATTACTTTGGAAGATTAATCGGATTTCGGTCCAAATCATTTTTGGGATCCAACAAAATATTGATTAACTAAATTGTTTAACAGTTGATTAATAATTTTTTTTACATCGGATGGTTTTACACATCGAGACATATGATTTTGGTAGATTATTAATACAAATCTTTTATATAAGCTCCAACATGAAATAGACAAAACAAAAATTGGTCATGAACACTAGTACGTAAGAATTTAGGACCTCAACTATGGTTATTATTAATTAGGGGGGGGAAGGGGGGGGGGAATATCTTTAAAAAATCTTTAATGGATTTCGAAGCTCACCCATATTGTTTTTTCCCCTGTAAATTTACAGTAACCAATAGCTAAAATTTATCTTGTTTGGGGTCATTGAGTTTTGAGAAAGGATTTTGACAGTAGGTTGAGCAGTCTTTCGTGATTCCACACATTACGTATTAAATCATCTATTCAAAAGTTAAATCTATTAATTGTCAAGAGTAAATCATCGTTTATAATAAACTAGATTAGGATCCGCGTTATAGCGGGTAAACATATTAAAAACATTAATATAAATATTTTAATTTTAGTTAGTAACCCGCTGAAATACAAACATATTTTGAAATACTATTTCTATATGAATCTTAAATCATTATAGATTAATTTATATTTAATTCTCATGTTGTAGTTCACATCATGCATACCATATATGTAAATAAATGAAAAAATATTTTTACTCATTATGAATATATATTAGTTATGTGATAAAATTGTAAAAATATTCAAATATTATAGAGTTAAATTAAACAAAAAATATTCATGTGAATAATCTCACAAAAATCTATATAATATTTTAAAAAATAGTTTTGTCAAGTATCACATATAAATCCATAATTGATAAATGTATATCATTGATGTCATTGGTTTATTTATCATAGAAATTTATACTCGTCAAACCTTAAACATTCTTGGATTTTAATAGCAAATATACTATTATTATTTTTAACTTGTATAAATTTCTATTTTATACAGTTTTTTTTAACAATGAAAAGTACCAATACCGTCATAGGTAAAAACTTTTCATTTTCTATGTAATATTTTATAAATATGTTGACAAAATAAATATGATTATAATTTTTTTGTTTATTTGTTATGGTTGTGCATATCTTAAACTTTTAAATTGAAATTTTCATATTCATTCTAATTTTTTGGTTTTCAATTTCTATAATATTTTTTCTTTTATCATTCATATTTTTATTTTTCTTAATTTTTATTTTTAATTTCTCTCTATTTTTTTTTATTTTTTTACGATTTATACTCTCTCTATTTTCTTTATTAACTTATTTTTATAATTATTTTGAACTATTAGACTTTTTATCTAATTAGTTTGGACTATTAGAAATTTTCTTTTTTCTAATTAGTTTGAACTATAATTTTTTTTAATTTTTACTATTTGGTTAGTTGTTTAACAATTATTTTGTCCGTTTTTCATTTTTTTTAAAAAATTTGAACACGTGTCATCATCTGGTTAATAGTAGATACATGTCGCGATCTGTTAAGTTATAATTTTGCATACGTGTCATGCTGTTATCGCTCATATCCTCCATTATATAATAAGATATGATAATGTAGAAGGTGAAAAAAAATAAAGAGCTTGATTTTATTTAAACAACAATAATGGTGTGGATTGAATTGGGAAGAACCAAACTCCAATAATTCATGACTAATAGGACAAATATACAATAGCATGAACTTCATTTTGTAAAACTTTAATCTAGACCGGACTTTTATGGTTATTTGAACGTACCAATTTAGGTTAATTAGTAACTTATTATGCTATTTCACATGGTTTTCATTTTTTCCATTCTTTTAGAGTGGTCCTTTTTTTAGTAAATGAAGTTATAAATGAAAAAGACATTGATGGGAAACATATTATTTCGAGTGCATGCTGACGAGATTGTTCATTATTTAGAAAAAAAATCCATACATATTTGAACAATCGACTAACAATTTATTTGGATACTGTGAGTGTGATTATTGAATCTAAAATTAACACCACAAGAAGATGATGAGTGTAGATATGTGGTTCAAATATATTTTATCTTAAATTTTGAATAGTATAATTCTGCATATCTAATTTAACATGCTTAAATAATAGATAATTATTGTTAGTGTGATAAAATAGCAATCTTTTATAATTCATACATAATGGTCTAAAAACAAAATTAATAAAGGTCCAAAAATAAAAATTAGTGTTAACTTCTAAAAAAATGTCTTTAGGTTTTTGTTTGTCTTAGAAGCTCCCCTAATTATATTGGGACTAGTCTGTCTTATGGTGGCTAGAAATGAATTAGCAACGGTTTGAGTACGAACTGACGAATTTGAAATGGCAACGTACGGTTCGACTATGAACCGATGAATTCACATCGCAGATTTTTTATAATTCTAAAGGTAAGAAGTGACCTAAGTCGAGTGGTTTTCATAACTAGTTCACGTAGAACATTTGTTGTGATTCACATCGCATTATCTCACTCGGGATCGATAAATATAGGGATGTACTGGATCGTTTGTTGTGATCCAATAATAGCAAAAAAAAAAAAGAACCAAAACCAAAAAGTTGACAAAAATTAGAACGGATATAAATAAATTATGTTGTGGATTTTGCTTTAAATTAAAGTGGTAGGAAGGACTCTGGTATATAAAAAAGAACCAAATGAAGATATCTCAAGACATTTTCCCCTTTCTATGATCTAGCATTGTATCTATAAAATAACTCTTATTAGATCGAGAAGATGATAGATTTGGTCATTAATACATGTTTTTTTCGGACCCAAACTTAATAATACTTATGATGGATCGAACAAATCATATAGATCTTTGATTTTCAATTCTAACACTGAATTTGATTTCAGATATCATATCATCATTATATATAACCCGGTTGAAGTAGTGTAATTGCGAATTGTTAAAAAAAATTTTTTTTTACATAATGGTGTCTTGTGAATGTGATTAGTATGAGGTCACGAGTCACGACCAAGTGGTCGTGCAGATGTTTGCTATTTCCAAATAAAATATTACTACTTAACTATATATATATTGTTTTAATTCACTGCCTCCTTAGTAATAATACCAATTGTTGGGATATTATTCAAATCCCACATCGGAAGTTTAGATAAGAATTGTCTAATATATAAGAGATGTCCAACTCTAATAAGTATGAGACCTTTTGGGAAGGAGCCCAAAGAGAAATCCGTGCCGGCTTTACCACTTGGGCCCAAAGCGAACAATATCATACTAATGGAAGAGTTGGACATGGGTTTGAAAAAGCCCCACAATTGGTATCAGAGACCAGGTTCAGAAAAGGTGGACCAGGAAAAGTGGGTGTGGGCTACAAGTTCG